CCGACTCTGCTGACTCCTTGTTAGCCTTTACGAATCATCTCCAGAGTCCTCTCCAGGGAACTTTCCCTCTCTGATTAGCTCAGGTTGATGTTTTCAGAGCACTCTGTTTACTTTTATTATAGTCTCTGCCATAAAAATAATAGTAATAGACATTTATTGAGAGTTTTCTGTTTTAAGTGCTTTCTGTGAGTTATTTCTTTTAATTCTAGCAGCACCACCTTGAGGTAGGCACTGCTGTTTGTGTCCTCATTTTAATGAGACTGGAACAGAGACTCAGAGGCTGTAAGTCAGTAGGTGATCTAGGGATAGGAGCAGCTTTTAGCGACTGTGCTTCCACATTTCATCAATAATTTTCTTGTTGTTTTATTCATGTTTTAATGTTTCTAATTTCATGACACGTCTTACAGTTGAGTTAATGTGGCAGTGTGATTTCTTAAAAGCTGCTATTAATTTAGAGTGCATTGTTATACAATTGATTGGGACTGATAGTTAAGAAAGTAACTGTATCGAACTTGACTATGATTGATTGAACAGCTCATGAGCTTTTCCAGAGCAATCTCTTAATCATCTGCACATCTCTAACGCTTAATAGAGTCCTTGGTGTGTAGAATGGATGCAGTAAATGTTCAACCGAAAAACTGAAGGATAGGAAAATGTAGGGGTCTCTGAAGACAAACTTTATCTAGTTTACTTTTGAATTTTTTTGTCTTTCCTTAAATATTTAAAAACCTTTTTTTTTAAATGTTCATATATTTTTGAGGGAGCGAGCGAGCAGGGGAGGGGCAGAGAGAGAGGGAGACAGAGAATCGAAGCAAGCTCTGAGCTGTCAGCACAGAGCCTGACGCAGGGCTGAAACTCGCAAACCGTGAGATCATGACCTGAGCAGAAGTCGGACGCTCAACCAGCAAGCCACCCAAGTGCCCCTGTATTTCCTCAGATATTTTTGAGTATTATTCTATTGCTCTTTTCCCCATCTCCTTTACTCTTAATCATGATCTGGTCGCATCCCTCGATACGTAGGTGAAACCCCTACGTTGGCCCAGGTGTCATCTTGGTCTTTGTTCTGCTGACCGTTCTCAGAGGACACCCTTAGAGGGCATTCTCCCTGCCCCTGCCTCACCTGCAGGAATCCAAGGAGGATATTTTTATGGAGTTTCAAAAATACATATTTCTCTTCCTTCAGCAAACATGCAGTTAATTCTGACTTTCGACCCACTCAGCGGTTACTTTTTTTTTTTCCATTGTTACCCTATAATTCTTTCTGTGTCTTCAACGTTTATTTATTTTTGGGACAGAGAGAGACAGAGCATGAACGGGGGAGGGGCAGAGAGAGAGAGGGAGACACAGAATCGGAAACAGGCTCCAGGCTCCGGGCCATCAGCCCAGAGCCCGACGCGGGGCTCGAACTCCCGGACCGCGAGATCGTGACCTGGCTGAAGTCGGACGCTTAACCGACTGCGCCACCCAGGCGCCCCTCTTTCTGTGTCTTCAACGTCCATCTATAGCCCACTCACAGAGAGAATAGATCTGGTCTCCAATTTGTTATGAATCGTACAGACCGAAGGGGCGGATGGACAGGTAGAAAGCAGCCCAGGAATTGGAGAGTTTTATCAGATCCTGTTTGTATTGTTCTGGGTTTGGAACTCTGAGTGGTACCCAGCAGTTTGCTTTCTGGTTCAGGACTAAGAGTTGATCTCAGTATTGAGGAGCCTGGTTGACAAATCTATGAGAATTTTTAAAATACACATACCTATACCTGTGTGTATATAAGCAGATAGTATGTAATAAGGTGACTGTAAGAAACCGTTGCTTGCTGATTTTGATCATCACAAACTGTACATGTGTTAACAAAGTACAGTGGGACAGTGTCTTTGTATCATTACTATTAATTATTAATTCATTGAGCATTAATGGAAACCCTGTGCCCCAGAATACAGGCAAATGTGAAACAGTCCACAGTAGGAGAAATTCGTAAGTAAATTAAAATATAAAATGTCAACTGCTCTACAAAAGTATGAACAAAAATCTTGCGGTAGATGGGTTGGAGTGATGGTGTTCTCGTGGGATTCAAGGATGGCTTTGTAGAGAAGGTGACGTTGGAACTAATTTTTATTTTTATTTATTTTTTAATTTTTTAATGTTTTTTAATTTATTTTTGAGAGACAGAGTGTGAGCAGGGGAGGGGCAGAGAGAGAGAGAAAGACACAGAATCTGAAGAGGCTCCAGGCTCTGAGCTGTCAGCACAGAGCCCGACATAGGGCTCAAACTCACGAGCCACGAGCCGGGAGATCATGACCTGAGCCGAAGTCAGATGCTTAACTGACTGAGCCACCCAGGCACCTCTGGAACTAATTTTTAAAGCCTGGGTCAGAGTTGGCCTGGCAGAGGCATATGGAAGTATCAGAATGAGCAAATAGCAATATAAAGACTATTTTTCTGAAACATTTTCATGTATCTTATTTTACTTTAACATTCCTGGGATCCAGATTGCTAGTTAGGCATAACTTTCTCACGCAGCAAATGAGGAACTGGAGCCACCTAACTGTTGAAGAGAGGAGTTAGGATTGGAATGAAGTTTAGAAAAAGTCCAAGGTCCTTTCTTTTTATTTATTTAATTTTTAAAGTTTATTTATTTGTTTTGAGAGAGAGAGTGCACAGTGGTGGAGGGGCAGAGAGAGAGAGAGAGAGAGAGAGAGGAGAGAGAATCCTAAGCAGACTCCATGCCCAGTGCAGAGCCCAACGAGGGGCTTGATCTCATGATCAGGAGAACATGACCTGAGCCAAAATCAAAATTTGGACATTTAACTGACTGAGTCACCCAGGCGCCCCAGGCTGGGGTCCTTTCCAATGATAATGTGGTGATGTAAAACATTTTAGTTTATTACCTGGTGTTGAGTGTGGATGATGTAGCATAAGATTAAAAATAAATTAAGAGTGTTCCAGGTGGAGCTGTGTTCAAGGGTTGTGACTTAGCCGTGCGTAGGACCTAGCAATCTTTTTTTTTTTTTTTT